CAAAGCCCACCCGCTATTGATGTACTTCCTCCAGCAAAGCCACACCTCTTAAGCCTCCAAAATAGTACCACCAGCAAGTGCTTAAATGCTGGAGACCATGGCAGGGGACACTCAAGTCACCTCAGTGAGGATGTGAGTTACCGTGGGCGTGTTTTTGCTTGTTGTACTCAGAGTCCCAGCCTATGAGGAGTACTCAGGAAGTGACGGCAGGAGCTGTGGTGGCCGGGGAGGGGGGGGGGGCCTTGATGCTGATGCTGCTTCAGTCCTGAAGCCCTCCTCCTGTGGAGTATTCTTCCGGCTCTCAGCAGTTTTAAAAAGGAATCTGGTGTTCCCCAGGTTCTTTCCTGGGACCGCCTCTGTTGTTCTCTCCACAGTTTCCCTTGGTCTGCCACAACACTGTAACCCCAGTGCCACTGTGACTATAGCCCAGTCACATTTCTTTCTCTCTTAAATGTGTTTATTCTCCTATATCCTAACAACTCATCCAAGTCAGGAATCTGGGAGTCTTCATTACTTCCCCTATCCAAGTGCCTGCCATAGTCAGACCCCATGCTGGCCACTGCACACGTAGTGTCTGTGAATGTACAGGGTCTGTCTCACAGCTGCCTGTAGGAATGATGTGGATTAGTCCCAGGAAGGTGAACACCAGGGTCCTGATGATTGGCAGGACCTCCCTGGGGAAGGGCATTAGAACTACGAGCTAAAGGATGATTAGATGCTCATCAGGCAAACAGGGGTGGGGACAGGCTAGACAGGGGTGAGCATGCTCAAAGGCTTTCTGGTAAGGAGGAAACAAGCAGGGAGGCAAAGAAGGAGGCAGGACCTGGTGCCAGATGAGCCAGGTTAGGTGGTGCACATCAGAGACAGCCATGTTAGTTGGTACCTCGGTGCATTCTAACACCCTCTTCTACAAGCGTCTATCTTGAACCTCTCTCCCCATAATTCATTTTCACCTATAAGGCCATATATTTTTTCACCCATCAGCAAGGCAAACAGTGTCCTGCCCCCTTCAAATTTATCTTGCAAGGAGTATGTTAATATGTGAGGCAGATTAAGATATTCTTCAGGCTAAACTCCTCCATTGGTCCCCCTGGTCCCTTCTTGCCAGGATGGATTCAAACCCCTCAACCCCACCCCGTTCTTGGCTGCAACTTTCTCAAAGGCCTCCCAGTACCCCTGGGGTGCTCGGTGGATGCATTCTGGAGCTTAGGTGAGGTCTTGTTCATCTCATGCTCTCCTGTCAAGGGGTTCTTACCCTAGGAAACCATCTTCCCTAGCTCAGGCCATCTGTTGCTCCTCTCAGATACCCTTCTCAGCCAGCCTCCTCATCCAGCCAGTCACATTCTGTCTCTCCTTTATAAGGTACATACTGTTTGCTTAGACTGAGGACTATCTGAGGAGCGGGATCCTGGTCCCATTGTCTTCATCCTTTTTGGTGCCACCGGGCTAACATATATTATCATTTAATAAATGTATTGTTGAATTGAGGGTCTGGTGATGAAGGAAGCACACTGTTCGAATGAGCCATAAAGGATGAGGCTCCAGCAATCTAAGGCACTTTGTGAAGGAGTCTGGCTTCCAGGACACCTCCCTGAACTCCCTGGATCTGGAACTTCTAGTGGCCAATCACCTGCCTCCAGGTGGGCTCCACCCCACACCCACACACCAGGAGGGTAGATAGACCAAGTTGGTCAGAGTGAGGTCTTCTCAAGCTTTAGTGAGTTCCATGATAATCCGAGGTCTCTGGTTTGCTAAGCAGATGGCTGGGTGCTAATAGCTTGATCGGGGGGTGGGGTGGCACCTGAGAATTGCTTCAGTAACAAGTCCCCAGGTGATCCTGGCAATGCTGGTCTGGGCACCACATGTTGAGAATCTGCATTCTAGCAAAAGAATTTGTTCCCCAAAGTATCACTCTGCAGTAAGGAGAGGAAGTGGATGGTCTCTCTTGGGTTTAGCTTGTAGGCTTTAAGAGCCATTAGTATGAGATTAGTGTGGATAGATGTAGGCTTGCCTCCATTCCTGGCTCTTACCCCCCCCCCCCACAAGTGCTTCTATGGCCATTTATCAGCCACTCAACAAATATGTTTTGTAGACTGTTCATGGTAGCCGATGAGGTGGAGTGGTGACTATCAGAGAAGCCAATAGAAAACCACCTTGAAGGGAAGACTGCGGGTATAGACAGGGCCCTAAGTCAAGAAGTCCAGGGGAGGGGCAACTGCTTTGAAGGGCAGTGAGTTCCCATCCCTGGAGTCTCCCAACAGGCTTTTAGAGTATTTGTGGAAATAATATTAGAGGGTTGTTAGTCTAAGTGACCGTTAAGATCTTGAAATTCTATGATTAAGGAAAAAAAAAAAAAAAGCAATGGTTGACCCTGGAATGCATAAATAGCTCACTTGGGACCAGGAGTGCATCTATGGAGGGTCCAGTCTGTCTTGTGCAAATACTGAAAGCTGCTCTACTTTGAATAGACATGTATTCCTCAACAACAGTGTGTGGCAACTAAGCAGACTCATATCCAATGGCTCTGTAATTTGTTGCTTATTGACCTCAGATCATTTAAAAGGTTAAATGGAAAAGCCACAAGCAGGCATAGAGTATACCTCAGGGGCCTCTTTATGTCCTGCTTTCTAAGTCACATGGGACTCAGATGCAAGGCACCATTTCAGTTTGTTTTGAGAAAGACACACACACACACACACACACACACAGAGAGAGAGAGAGAGAGAGAGAGAGAGAGAGAGAGAGAGAGAGAGAGAGAGAGAGGAGAGCTAGAACTTACAGTTATTAGGTCATCAGCTTGAATTTCAAACTCTTATCAAGGAAGTTGAACCAATGGCCAGATTCCACAGCATGGTACAAGGGACCCAAGTTTCCTTTTGTGAGGTTCAAATCTTAAGATGTGATAAACAAGACTGGCATCTCTTGTCCATTACCTACCACTTATTGAACATCTATTATGTTAGACTAGATGAGATTCTTTACAAATACTATTTATGATTCTTTTAATTAATCCTCAAGGTATTATATCTTTTTCCAGAGAAAAGACAGAGAGATTACGTTTCTTATCCAATTTTACATAGCAAAACTTGCCCATTCATTTTTTTGGAAGTTGACATACCTATAAAATTTAACCCTGATAAAGATAGTTAAAAAATTATAGCTCTATGAGTCTGAGTTCAGATGCAATATTATCAAGTTGAATCCAGCATTATATCAAATGAATAATACACTCTGACCAAATGGATAGTGCTGTAGGAATGCAAGAATGGTTCGATAATAGGAAATATTAGGAAATCAACCTAATTTCACCATATCCACAAACCAAAGAGACATCTGTATTAGAGACACTTAAAAGACAGTTGATAAAAGTTTCCTATAATAAGACTCTAAGACAGTAATAATAAGAAATGCTTAAATGTAATAAAGGCTAAAAATTAGCTAGATCTAACCTTATCAAAATAGGAGATGCCTGATTCTGCCATTTAAAGTGATTGCCCTAGCTGTTACTCAAAATGAATTTTGGTCAGCTGTGAGAAGTCCTTATGGCAGTACCTAACTGCTCTTGTCATAGAGTGAAGGTCACAACCACTGAATTTGGATACCTAGAACTGTGATTTGAACCCAGGTCTGATGCTGAAGTCCTGCTCTTCTTCACTATGAAGGATTTATGTTCTCTGGGACCAGTGATCTGGGAGAAGGGCAAATCCCTCAGAACCAGCCCATCCCCCAGTGCTCCATCAGAGTCCAAGAGTCCATCAGGCTTGTCCTGCTTGGAGGGAGAGGAGGATGAGCATGGAGGGGGAGGATGAGCATTGTGTGGAGAGGAAAATGAGCATTTGGAGGGAGAAGACGATATTTGGAGAGAGGAAAATGAGCATTTGGAGGGAGAGAAAGATGAGCATTGCGGGGAGAGGAGGATGAGCATCAGGGGGAGAGGAGGATGAACACCGGGGGAGACGAAAATGAGCATTTGGAGTGAAGGGAAGATGAGCATCTGGGGTCATAGTTTTACTGGCTCTAAGAAGCTTCTGCTCTTGGCAACCCCATCCCTCAAAGCCTGGGGTCTGGGCTGAGTGTGGGGAGGCATGGCTGGTGTTCTGGCCCGAGGTCACTTTGCCTGCCTTTTGCTCTCTATACCCTGAGCATCCAGTGTACTGAGTAACCCCCTCTATTCTTGCTTCTAAGATGCCATATTAGTGTTACTAGTTGCCTTTTGTCTTAAACTGGTGCCAGAGGCTAATTGGCCTATTGAGGTCACAAGCTCTTGGCTACTGCAGCTACCAGGATGCCTCAGTCTCATTGTGTTTGTGGTGAGAGTAGGGCACATTCTCCTGGCATAAATCGTAGGGTGATACATGGAAAATTTGCTACTTTGTATGTACAGACTCAGCCACAGAGCAGCAGATGGGAAGAGGAATCCAGGAGACCTCTACTGTTGTGTTCCATGTGTGTCACTTAGTGCTGCTGGGCCTCATTTACCTCATTAGTGACAGAAGTCACTGGACTGCATAAGCGTCCGGCGATAGCTGCAGAGTTATGCGATAATCCCCCTTGTGTGCTCAGTACCATTTGAAGTTCCTTGTTAAGGCTGGGCATGTGGCTCAGGGATGAAGCTCTTGCTTAGCATACCTAGCACCATAACAGACACACAGTCAAACAATGCTTGCCTGAGTACTCTGGGCTGGGTGTCAGTAATGCGTTCCTACTGCTATCATCCCCATTTTATCTCTAAAGCAACGGAGACACACAGTAGTTCATTAGCTCAGGGTCTTGCAGGCAGAATGGTAGAGCTTACACAACGCTTGGCGTCTGTGCTCTTATACCTCTTCCGCATACACAAGCCATGTGGTTACAGGGGCATGGGTCTGAGGGTGGGAGGTACCTTTAAAGGGAAACCTGGCTCTGGTGTGGACAGCTGGGGACTGTTGCCTTGAAGTGTGAGAGAGTGACCACAGAAATTGCTCACATTGTCCATAATTTTTTTCTCTTTTCCTCCCTAGTCTGTGGCAAACGCTACAAGAACAGGCCGGGACTCAGCTACCACTATGCTCACACTCATCTGGCCAGCGAGGAGGGAGATGAAGCCCAAGACCAGGACACCCGGTCCCCGCCTAATCACAGAAATGAGAACCACAGACGTGAGTCCCCGCTTGTAATGTTTGGGAGTGAGGGATGGGGCAGATAGCGTGGGGAACAAGCTTTCTTTCCGTTCTGGTATCTTCTGGCAGTAACAACTGATGGGGCTTGGTGTTCTGCAGTAAATTGATTCCTAAACTCAGCCAGCCACCACACCTATGGCTGAACTGAGCAGCCAGCTAAGAGTAAGTAGGTCAGAGTGTATGTGATCAGCCTTGTCTCGGGACAGAGGTGGGGTGTAAATGTCCAGTAAAAAGGGAGTGTCCTCACCTGGCAACTGTCACATGCCAGACCTGTCCATCATTCCCTCGGCTTCAGAAGAGCCACTCACAGCTGTTGGAGTGATTGATGTTTCCTGGTTAATTGCTCTGGTTTTCCTGCATGGGTCACTACTTTGGGTTCAGAGCTCTCCTATCATCTGGATGGATGTGTGAAAGTGATCCTGCAGATTTGTGTTTCTATTCTTTTTTTCCTTTTTTAACTTGCAGTTATGACCTAGGAATAAAAAGGGGGCTAGGCATTCTCCACTTGACCGGCTTTCTCCCATCCATTATGGTTTCTGGGATGACAAAAGCCTCAAGCAGGATGCAGTCATGGAATCTGTTGAGCTTGCTTCAAGGTCTGGGTCATCCTGAGATCACTGGAGGGAGGGGTTATTTATGCACCTTTGTTGTGGACTTTGTTTTGTTTATAGGATTGGTTGGTATATGTTTCTAAACACCTTTTTTCATTTAGATTAGCTTTTGCCTGCATGTATGCATGTTTGCCACTTGCATGTGCAGTGCCTACTGAAGTCAGAAGGCTGTGTCCGATCCCTGAGACGGAAGTGCCTGGTGGTTGTGAGCCACCAAGTGAGCGCTGGGAATTGAACCTGGGTCCTCTGGAAGAGAAATAAGTGCTCCCAACCACTGAACTAATTTTCCATCCCTGGTCTACATTCTTAAAGTGAACAAGAATCTGACTGTTAAAAGTGGCCAGATTCTGAATTTAAAGGTGACTCCCGTGTAGCTGAGTATCTCGGCTTATGTGACCAATGACAGATGGGCACTTTATCACATCTCTGAAACCATGAGCACAACCCCTGGCCAAGGCCTTTGCGTGTTGTTCTCCCTGGCCTGTGCCCCATGTTCACTGGTCATGTGCCACAGTGTGCTGTGACTGGCACCACAAAATACCTCAGACCAGGAGTCTTAAACTACAGCAATTAGTTTCTCATGGTTCTGGGGGCTGGAGAAGCCAAGGTCAAGGCACTGTCATTGTTTCCAGATACATCTCTCCTTGGCTTGCAAATGGCTGTCCTCTGGCAGCTCTGCCCTTTTCTCTGTGTACACACATGCTCTGCGGTCTCTTATAAGATCACCAGGCAGGACCCAGTATAATAGCTGCATTGTGTGTGTGTGTGTGTGTGTGTGTGTGTGTGTGTGTGTGTGTGTATGTGTGTCTGTCTGTCTGTCTGTCTGTCTGTCTGTTGCACTTGCATGTACTCTCAGTTGGTTTTCACCTCAGTTTTTTGAGACCAAGTCCCTCACTGAACATGAAATTTATTGATTTGGCAAGACTGGCTGTGGAGCCCTCCAGAGGTCACTTGTGTCTGCCTCACCAGCTCTGGGATTATAGGTGCACGCAACCATTTCCACCTTTGTGCATGGGTGTGTGTGTGGGGGGTGGTATCTAAACTTAGGTCCTTATGTCTTTATGACAACCGCTTTATCAGCTGCGCTGTCTCCCTGGCTCACTTAACAAACTTGACCTCTGCATTTGCTTTTTCTCCTCCTTTTCCTCCTCTTCTTCTTAGGATTTACCTTCACTTTAAATCGTGTGTGTGTGTGTGTGTGTGTGTGTGTGTGTGTGTGTGTGTGTTGTATACACGAGTACAGTGCCTGTAGAGGCCAGAAGAGGGCATCGGATCCCTGAAGCTGGAGTTACAGGTGGTTGTGAGCCATCCTGTGTGAGCTCTGGCAACTGAGCAAGAGCGGTGCACTCCATCACCACTGAGCCATCTCTCCAGCACTTTGATTACTTCTTCACCAATCTCTGTCTTCAATAGAACTAAATGCCAAAGTACCAGAGGTTAAGCTGCAATATAGGAATTGGGAGTTGGCGAAAATGCATTCTGTGACATTAATGTGTTTCCAACTTTGAGGGTTCAAGCTTTTCATGTGACAGACCCCTGTTTTCTCACCTCCTATTGCCATCTGGGCAGAATCTGGGAAGCAGGGCTGGAGGAGGGGGGTGGCTTCGCTCTTTCTGCACCAGATCCCGAGTATCTGTGACACCCAGCTCTCTGCCTGCCCTTTGGGAGAGCTTGCCTTTTCTGTCAGGGAAGAAGCCTGTCTGTGTTGAGGCAGCTCTGCCAATGCCATTTTCCTCTCTCCTCTTTCCTTTCTCTGGTCTAAGTGTCTAGGAAGCCACAAGGAGCTGTGGCCTCCTACCAGGAAGCGGCTGGAAAAGATCTTTGGTTTTAGGTGTTCTATGGAAAGCACAGATTAGTGATTTGTTCTCTCTGCAAAGTGTCTTTAGCTTTCTTTCTCGCTCCTCAATGCCTGGCCACTTGTTCCCGTGTAAGGAATCCTGTTTTGTAGTGCTTTGACAGCTTTTTCTTTGAGCTGTGTTTTTCCCACTTCTATAGTGTCCAGAGCAGGTGGTGGTGTGTACATGTGCAAAGTCTTGGCAACAACAATAAACAAGAGACAGCCTCTCCCTCCCCCAGCCAACTCCTGAGGTCCCCTCCAAGTAGACTTCTGTGACCAGCACTGATAGATAGTCTTTGCTCTTTTCACCAGGATCTCAAATGTGAAATTGTCAGGAGGCATGTGTCCTGCTTAGTTAGGTGTTATCCCTGGGAGTTCACATGGGCTTGCTTAGTAAGGAAACTGTGCCTTTCCTTTTTATACACGGAGACTTGACCCATGCTTGTCTCCATCACCTGTGGGCTTGTGGGTGAGCAACGTGCTCCAGCCCCTCCCCATCTTCCTTCCTTTTTCACCCTGATGATGAGACACACACTTCTTTTTTTCCTAATATCTTTTTTACATTCCAATCCCGGTTCTCCACCCCTCCTTTCCTCCCACTCGCCCCCTCCCATCTGCTCCAGGGAGAGGGTAAGGCCTCCTCTAGGAAGTCTGCTAAGTCTGCCCCATCATCTCGTTGAGGCAGGACCAACATACCTCTCCATGCCCACACCCCTGTGTCTAGGCTGGGCAAGGTATCTCTCCATATAGAATGGGCTCCACTAAGTCAGTTTGTGCATTAGCGTTAGGTCTTGGACCTGCTGCCAGTGGCCTCATACATTGTCCCGGTCACAGCATTGTCACCTATATTAAAGGGAGTCAAGTTTGGTCTTATGCAGGTTCCCCGTTGAGACATAGACTTTCTTCACCAAAACATCATTTGACTGATTAGAAAGAAGTTAGCCATATGTGGGATAATCCAGGTCCTCCTCAGAAAAAGACAGTTCTGGAATCCTGAAAAATACCCCTTATTTTAATTAATCGTTTTTCTGGTGTCTTCTCACAACTTCATTTCTGCAAACTCCGTGTCTAGCCCTAATGTTACCCACAGGGAAGTGGGTACAGCAGACCAACTCTCGGTGTCTGGAGAAGCCACCTTCCCCCAGCCCCGGTTTCTCCGGACAAACCCAGTGGCAGCTGCTCACCCTGGCTTCTGTGGGCCATACACACTACCGATTTGCTTGCTGCTCTGAATGTGCGCTCTATTTCCTCCCACATGCCCCTGGTGAGCAGGCCCCCACCATTTTCCTGTGAGCACTAATTGCTGGCATCATTAATACCCAGTCATTAGCTGCTCTCACTGTTTGGGACTTGGAGCGGGCTCCCATCCACACTGCCCCTAAATGCCACCAGGGCTGTGTGGTGAACCCAATGTGACAGCTCAGCAGCATCCCGAGGGCTGGCTCCATGGTCCTCCCCCAGCCAGGCTTCCAGATCAAGGGAGGGAGGCAGCAGAACTTAATCCAGGAGGCTACTCTGTGGCTCCCCCAGGAGGAAGTCTGGGTGCTGGTAAGTGGAAATGCAGGCATTCCCTTTAGTAGAGCTGCAGGGTGACCCAAGCTGCCGTCATAGAAAGAGCCCCACAGATACAGAAGTATGCAGGGCACAGGCAGCTGGCTCACACCACCTGCAGCCATTAAGACCTTCTGACTTTGGTACCCCTGCTGTCCCTTGCTCCATCTCCTTCAACTGTGACCTCGGCAGAGCCCATGGCTCATTCCCATGCCTGCCACTTTTTAACAGAAAGGGCAGAATGGCCCACTGGAGTCAGCATTGACCTTCCCTTCCCCCAGCCCTTGCTGCCCTGAGCTGTCAGCTCAGCAGTCAACCACCACCGCCACCCCTGCTGTCCTCCTGCCCCTCCCCCCTCCCAGGGGATGCATTCCCGCCCTTGTTCCTCTCCCCCTCTGGATCTGTCTGTGTTTCTTTCCTATAGGCTTCCCTCCTTTGCCCTCTCTGTGCCTGAGTCTCTCTACCTCAACAGCAGATGAGTAGCTAGGGATGATTGGAGCTTAGACCTCTTGCCTGGGGAGAGATGATCTTTCTGATGGGTCTTCCTCCCCCCCCCCAAAAAATGAGGCTGGGTCTTCTTTTTCCCTCAGTTTCTCTTACCACCTTCATCTGTATATAGGTTTGCCTACATATAGCTATGGGTATACATGAATACAAGGAGGGGTGGTTTGATCAGGACTCCTGAGTGTGAGTGACATTCAGCTGCTTTCAGAGAAACTTTAACTAACAAGATTAACATCCAAAGTCTCAAAAACTCGGCCCACAATTTCAAAAATCTTTTAAAATTCCCTTTGCTATCTCTGCACAACTGGAATCTACTACAGATGTTTTCAGGATACTTTTTGGGGGTAGGGATGAGATCAAAGCCTTAGATTTAAGCAGAAACATGATGTAAATAAATTTGTGCTGTCCATTCATTCTCTTACTGAATCCATTCTTCCATCCATCCATCTATCCATCCATCTACCCCCCCCATCCCT